TGTGTGTGTGTTTGTGTATGTGTGTGGTATATGACTGTGCATTTCTTCGTGTATGAATACACATCCATATCATCATATGCCATTTTGCCATTTTAGAATTACAAAGTTCTGTCGGGTTAATACCTAGCTTTGAGAAGTTTGAGGTACTATTTTTGATTTTCACGATATGTCAAAATTTTACAAATACAGTTTTTTGAATATCTTTATTACGACTTAAAATAATCTTACGATTTTGATAGTATAAACCAAACATTTGGTTTCTGACCTCATGGTCTTTGTAACAAAACAGCCAAAAATGTCTGGCAGAACTTTATAATTCTAAGGTAGCAATTTCTCAGAAAAATCTGAGATCTGTTTAAAAAAACAAAACAAAACATCAAGACAATTTCAACTTTAGTAAAAGAAAGGAGTTTGCAGCTTAACTAATTATATTCTACTGTTCAAAATAGAATGGTCTCATGTATCTGAGAAATGGTAATCAATAGGAGCAGTTAGTGATAAGGAATCAACCCCGTTCTCTGAAAACACCATAAAAGTTTGCCCTCCATTTACATCTCATAACTTTAAGATCAGAGCAATTGTTTTATTCTGTTGTCGAATATTTAGGGTTTGGCACTGGGAAAGAAAAAAAAGAGTGAGGGATAGACCAAGAAGAAAGCAAGGACAGAACATTTGGAATGTGATATAACACAGAGGTATTCAAGAATAGTGATGATGATGGTGATGATGGTGATGATGGTGATGATGGTGATGATGATGATAAAACCATCTAGCAGACACTCGACAATGTTCTTATCTTCTGGTTTCTTGGAACTGGTAAGTGATATTGTGTCTCTTGGTCTTTCTGTTAGGTGATGTGGGAGACTGGAAGAACCATTTCACCGTGGCCATGAATGAGCAGTTTGATGCCGAGTACAAGAGGAGGATGAGCAACTACAAAACCTCTTTCAAATATACTCTCTGATAGCATCCAACATTGTTTTTACCAGTGCACATGTTTATTACTTATAAACATAACATCTGTAGTTCATAGTTTGTTGCTACTGTTATTGTGGCGAGTGGGCACGGGGGGGGGGGGGTTATTGTGTTTGTTTCCTTTTTATTAGTTGTTTTTTGGGGGGTTGTTATTTGCTTTTGTTAGTTATCTTTATTTTTTAAAGGGCATTTGTGTGTGTGTGTGTGTGTGTGTGTGTGTGTGTGTGTGTGTGTGTGTGTGTGTATGTGGATGGATATTACAAAAAAATAGTCAGAAGTTTCCTCTCTCTGAGATGCAAAATGTGAAAGCAACAGGACAGAGAAAAGGGGAATAACAAAAAACCAAAAAGCTTCCGTGTATTATTTTGCTCAAAATAAATCTTGTCATATTGACTTCGCTGTCAGTCACCAAAAGCTGACTAGGTATTTGAATACCCTAACAGATTTATCCCAGTTTGTTTCTGGTGTAGTGACGAAATGATGACTATGAATGAGCTTTTATCTTTGCATTCATGTGTTTTAAACTGTACTTTTTGTCATTGAGTATTGTTGTTGTAATATTTTCATACCTTATGGTCGTCGTTAAGCTCTATAGCTTACAACTGTTGATAGTAGTACCTTTCATAAACATTTCCCATTCACTTACGCAGAATAAACTGTTCAACAAAAACTATTATGAATTTTATTTGATTGTTTTGCTCATTATCGTGAATAGTTGGCAGGTACTGTGGTGTGGTATGTTCTTTCTTTCCCATCAAATATCTTTAAGTCCTAATCTGTCCCCCTTCTTTTTTATGTATGGTGCCTTCTTGTAGCACCTTTAATCTTCTGCACTTATATAACCTAATGTATTGCAAGTGCCATGAAACACTTACTAAAACTAACTACATAATATAGCTCTTTATCATTTGATAATTCTTCAATGTTAAATAATTTCTTAGTTTTAAACAGTTTCCCTTTTGAAAAGAAATTCCCGCCAGTCTCTGATGTAGTTGAGTTGTCAGGGTGAGCTGCTTCACTGGGCTAGTTGATTACTTTTAAGGAACTGCTTGTGCTAGGTGAAGAAGTGTTTAAGTTCACAGCTTATGCTTGTATGAGACAGAGCTCTAGATGCAATACTCTTCTTTTTCTTCTTCTTTTCATTCTTCTTCTTCTTTTTCCTCTTCTTCTTCTTCATCGTATCACTTTTAATATCATAATAATAATTTAAAAAAAACAGTACAAAATAATAAAATGTTCTTGTACCCACTTTCAATTGTTTCTCTTCTGTTTCTCTCAGAATAGACATCTTCTGTCATCAAGGGATGTTTTCTGTCAGATAAATTATCCTTCTGTTGTAGACTTTAGCAGTTTTGTTCCTGCTTTTTTGTGTGTGTGCGTGTGTGTGCAGGTGTGTGTATGTTTGTTTATGTGTGTGTGTGTGTGGGGGGGGGGGGGGGGGACGTGTGTGTGTTCGTGCGCAACTATCTACTTGTAAAGATCAATATCATATGTGAAATGTGAGTGAAAGGGCGGTCGACTTGAGTCATTATGTTTGATCTTATTAGGTTTTATATAGGGTTTCACGGGAATATCTTTAAGAAGTGGAGGTGTCAAGGTAGTGAAGATTGACAACTTATATAATAAAGCAAAAACGATGAATCATGAATTTCTCGGAAAGATAGAAAAACTCGACAGTGCGTCTTTTTTCTCAAAACAATTACAATGTGGACCTATGAACAAAGACAAAATGAAGCTTGCTACATGTCTCCATTAACTTCTTTGCGCTAGATCTACTACGTCAGAAAAAAGGTAATCTCCTAGATGAATTGATATCAAGGATATTAACCAATACTACATTATTTCAAGCTTTATTACTTATGGTTATTTCCCTTTGCCATAACCTAGACTTTCGTCAACTTGTCAAACTATTGACACAAGAACTGCTAATTCATTAAGTGAGGTCTGTCGTGCTTTGAAAGATGCTTTTTCATGATCATACTCTGACCTTGTAAGACGATCACCTGAAGAAACAAAAAAATAATAATATATCACAATGCATGCTATATTTCTTAATTTAAAAAAAAGCATAAGCTTCCAAGGCATGAAATACAACACTTTGTATACATTATAGTTTCAGTTCCAAGAAGTATGGGTTTTTTTTCTTCAATATCCGGTCCTGTGAAATCTATAATAAAGAAGAACGCAGGAGAATAAAAAGAAGGGGTTTAACTTTTGAAACTGCCGTCACGGGGTTTGCTTCCCTGTTGGAATACTAAAACCTTTTTTTTAAATCTCTTCTTCTGCAAACAATTTGGAGGCTATTGTTAATCCAGTAGCCTCTGAGGCAAGAACCAATTGATTAAATCCAACTTCCAAGGTCAAGAATGTCCCATTACCAATTCGAAACAGGGAAATCCAACCATGGTTCATGTTGAGTGCTATATAAATGTTTTATGTAGTAGTAGCAGCAGCAGCAGCTGCAGCAGCAGCAGCAGCAGCAGCAGCAGCAGTAGCAGTAGTAGTAGTAGTAGTAGTAGTAGTAGTAGTAGTAGTAGTAGTAGTAGTAGTAGTAGTTGTTGTAGTAGCAGTAGTAGCAGTAGCAACAGCAGTAGTGGCAGTAGCAGCAGCAGCAGTATCAACAGCAGCAGCAACAGCAGCAGCAACAGCAGTGGCAGCATCAGTAGTAGTAGTAGTTGTAGTAGTAGTAGTAGTAGTAGTAGTAGTAGTAGTAGTAGTAGTAGCAGTAGTAGCAGTAGTAGTAGAAGTAGTAGTAGTAGTAGTAGTAGTAGTAGTAGTAGTAGTAGTAGTAGTAGTAGTAGTAGTAGTAGCAGTAGTAGCTGCTGTATGTTTGTCACTCTCTTGTGAACTGCTATTTCTGGGTGCCTTGATGGTCGAATCGGACCTTGTGCTGTTAAGGCAAGAGAGATGAGAAGAGTAAGCCTGATTCCCCGATAGGATTTCTATCTTGTTGACACTCACCCAAGGAGGTTTTAAGGTCCTTGCACCCACCCCTTGGCGCTCATATGACCGTATATTGCAGTTGCGAGCGCCGTAAAACCTTAGATGTATGAAAAATAACTAAGAGAAAAAGTCGGGAACAAATACTAGTCTTCTGCGTGCGACGGTGAACATTCTCTATTAGGCTATAACTGTTAGCCAACACCACAGATGCAGGTCCTTTTTGTTAGAAGCAGCTGGTTTATGGCCCGTACAGTAATAGGGAATCAGTTTTAAAGGTAGGCCCATACATGTTCTGGACATCGTTGCTCAAACTCAAAAATGTAAATGTAAAACGAATACCGGTACACAATGAGGGCAGATAACATGGAGTAGAAATAATATGGCAGAGTGTAACAATTGTAGAGGAATAAATACTTTTAAGGTAGTGAGAAAAAGGAACTGGAAGAAAGTTACGGGGCAGATGTATAAAAAGGAAGACATCAACAACTTTGATCAAGTTGAAAGGGTATCATATTTCATATAAACACATATTGCAGCTTGAAATTTAAAGTATCAATTAAAAATATTTTTTTGGAGCCACGACACGGTGGAATCAGGCACTCGTCAATTTTTTTACATATATGGAGTTATTGATTTCATCTTAAAGCGTGCTCATTTGTCTTGCTTTCAATGAAAAAAATATACACATCAAACTTGAATAGAATTCAAAGTATTTTTGATTGAAGAGGAAACATTAGCGAGAAAATGGCCCTCAAAGTTTGGTGACTTACATAGCTTGAGAGTCTTTGAAAATTTAAACCTTACATTTTTAACATTTTTTGTGCTTTTGATCAACGTTTTTCTGTAAAATCCTCACTGAAATGCGTTTTTAAATGGACAAAAAAGGTGTTGAGCAAAAAAACAAAAAAAGAGAAAAATTGCCAAACTGGGGGGGAAATGCTCATTTCTTCGATTTCATTATTCTAACGAGTGTCTGATTTCACGACAATGTCTCACATTTTCATACTTTAAAAAATCCAGAAACATCTTGTTTTTAATTTTTTTGGATTTAGCAAGGTTTATGATACCTTAAAATAGACAAACAATGTAAAGTATGACATTTTAATAAGAGAATAGACAAAAATGTCTTTTTTTTAAGTCGAGAATTTTTTTCTCAAGTAGATATAAAAGTAACATTATTATTACATTTTCACATACTGCAGCATGAAAATTAAAGAACCACTAAAAAACATTTTTATACATTTTAAAGCTCTCCAACATCTTGGCTTTATTTTGACTTCGTGAGGTTTATAGCACCTTAAATTATACAAACAATGTAATGTATGGCATTTTAAAATTAAGTACAATTGACAAGAACATTTTTCCAAGAAAGCGGAGAATTTCTTTTCTCAATTAGTTAGCCTATAAAAGGTATCATATTATTATATTTCCACATACAGCAAAATGAACATTAAAGAACCAATGAAAAATTTAAAAAAATACTTTTTCAAATTCTCCAACATCTTGGATTTTTTAATTTAGTTTACAGCACCTTAAATTATACAAAAATTATGTGTATGGCACTTTTTAAATAAAACTGACCAGAACATTTTAAAAATAAAAGCTGAGAATTTCTTTTCTCAATTAGGTAGGCTTATACTTATAACAGATTAAATCACAATATTACATTTACGAATGAAGCAGAATAAATGTAAAAAAACAAACAATAAAGAGCATTTTTATACTTTTCCAAACTCCGCAACATCTTGCTTTTTGAATTTGCGAGGTTTATAATGGAATCTTAAATTATACAAACAATATTGTGTAAGGCACTTTTATAATAGAACTGACGAGAACAGTTTTCCATAAAAGCAGAGAACTTCTTTCCTTAATCAGTTATAGAAGGTATCATAATAATATTGTTACATTTTCACACATTGCAGCATGAAAATTAAAGAACCAATAAAAGAAAACATTTTTATACTTTTCCAAACTCTCAAACATCTTGGGTTTTTTTACTTAACGAGGTTTACAGCACCTTAAATTATACAAACGTTACGCATGGCACTTTTTAAATAGAACTGACCAGAACATTTTAAAACAAAATGGCACTTCTATAATAGAACTGAAGAGAACATTTTCCATAAAAGCAGAGAATTTCATTTCTTAATCAGTTATAGAAGGTATCATGATAATATTATTACATTTTCACAAATTGCGGTGTGAACTTTAAAGAATCAATGAAAAGCATTTTTATACTTTTCCAGACTCTCAAACATCTTGCTTTTTGACTTAGTGAGGTTTATAGCACCTTAAATTGTACAAAAAACAAAAGCTATGTATGGCACTTTTATAAAATAGAATTGACAAGAATATTTTTTTCAGAAAACCTGTGACCTTCTTTTCTTCCATGACCAAGCATAGCATGGTACTGGTATAACACCTCTCTTTCAACATGGTAAGGTCATTTAGACTGCAGAACTTCCAAATTTAACATCTATCTCCGACAAAATTCAGCCAGGTAGGTGGAGAACTTTGAAAATTCCCCTAACAACTGAAGTTTAAGAACGCGCAAGCAGAGATTCAAACATGAGTTATTCGCACTATGGCCCAGCATGACACTATCTGAGCTGATGGACCAAAAGTAGTAAAATGAAAAAGCAAAATGAGAACAGATATATAGAAAGTAGGCTATAATATAAAGACATCTTTCCAAAATATGAGTCAGACACAATCAAGATGCCACTTAAAATATCTGATATAAAAAAATCAATCAAATTTGATCAAAGTAAAGAATTTTATGAATAAATCAAGAAAAATCATTTAAAAAGTGAAAATTCAAATTAAAGCATCTTTGACAAGTAAACTGTTTCTAAAGTAAAGCTTCTCACTAATGATTGAAAAAAAAGGAATTGTAATGTGTTGCCGGAGACTGTAGAGGCTAATGACAAAGGAGAGAGTGCATCATGTTTTGTGCATGTAACCCCTGAAGCATCTGAAGAATTATACTCAATACAGTTGAAACTGTCTAAGAGCGACCATTTTCGATTCGTGTACATCTCAGCACTTCTATTGAGAGGATAACGAGACATGAGCAAAATGTTTGTAGCACATTTTACTATTGAGTCGCTTACCTCTCGTTACTGTCCGAGAAAAGACACAACACAATTGAACAGTGAAGCTATTGCACATTGCAGCTCGTGTTGTTGCTGTGGCTAAATGGTTTAGGTTTAACGCCCCTTTCAACACTGGTAGGTTATTTAAGAGGTGGGATCTATGAGTTTAACGTCCATCTCCGCAAGGACCGAGCCAAGTTGGAAATTCATGTAAAGTGCCTTTCGCAAGACACAACATCAGACCGAGCTGATTACAAGCCTAGTGGCCTAACCATGACGCAACCGATGCCACTAGCTGTGGCTTAAAAAGAAGATGTGCTAATAACAGATGGTACTGGATACATTCAGTTTTCCAACGTAGAGAAACTTTTGGCGAATACCAGCATCTTATGCAACAAATTTCAAGTGATGAAGAGAAGTGTGTAGCATACATCAGACTGACACCAGATACTTTCAAAACTCTTCTGAATATTATTGAACCTCACATAAAAAAAAGGATTTAAAATTTGTGCACAGCCACAATCAAAAGCTCATAAATTTAATTTTGATGACTCCATCTTGTATCAGAGTAAACTATGTGTGTACTCGTCTGCGAAATGAGACACCACACCAAAAGCTGGGAGACAATCTAAAGAAAATTTAGTGCTGCACTAACATGCTCTCGATACAATACATGTATCTGGAGTCTATCAAGCCAAAATGTTAGTGAGCCAGATGCACTGAGTTGGCAATATTGAGAGAAAGAAGTATTCTTGTGTCACCGGCTGTCGCACGACAAGTTCACTGGGGTCATGAGTTGATATCGAGATAAAAGCGTGTCGAAGACGAATGCACTGAGTTTAGGCTCTAAAACGGCCACCCATAGCCGAGGAGGAAAAAGAATGTATTAGACAGGTGAACATCTGTTACACTGTTATTATAATTCTAAAAATAGGCAAATATGGAAATGGAAAGGGGCCGTTCGTACAGGTGATTGTCTTATGCAGATGGCCGTTCGTACAGGTGATTGTCTTATGCAGGTGGCCGTTCGTACAGGTGATCGTCTTATACAGGTGGCCGTTAGAGCAGGTTCAACTGTACTTGTAACACTTTTTTAAAGGCATTACATATAGACCAAACTAAAAAAAAAGCTTTTTTTTTTGTGCCAGAAAAAGCAATGACTTTGAAAGATAAGCCTATGTATAAATCACAACCCAAAAACATAAAAGCTGTTGACAAATACTGTTAGGGAAGATTATACGTCAGTAGAAGTGCCGAATCCGAACAGCAGTATGCACCCCAAGACAAAGTAACAACAATTAGACACAAGTTTTCCTCATAAATATTAAGCTGGACAGTGTCTTTTAGGTAGGTATTTTCATAAAAATACATGCTGAAATATTAAAAAGCGAATATTGCCCTTAAAAAAAACATGTATGTTTTTACACACCCATCATTTTTGTAGAAAAAAATGACAGATTAAAAAATTTATTATGTATGAAATACTGATTCGTGAAAATTGTCTATTAAAAATAAAAAGTAAGTTATCCACACAATCATCTTTGTAAAAAAATATGACAGATTGTTGACTAATTATGCCATTCATCATAAATCAGGAAAATAATCTGTTTACAGAAGAAAAAAAATTGAATATGTAAACGTAGTAATCAGTGAAAAGATTGTTTAAAAAGCAAACTTTGCACTCATTTCATAATTACTGCGAGTCTTCATTTAAAATAACTGCAGGTGACAGATTAAAAGCAATTCATCGTGAAGATAAGGTTACTAAAAATTTACTGAAACGCAATCAACCTCTCAAAGTGTCTGCTAATTTTTTTCTCTTTGTAATGCAAAAGCTTTACTGTCCATACTAACAGTAAAACATTTTCTTCTTGTTTAAAACAAATCAGATCTAAAAAGAAAGTATGTGTCACGACGTAGTGGAATCAGGCACTTGTTAATTTCTGGGCGTAAGGGGCTATTGGTACCATCTTAAAACCTGTTCATTTGTCTTATTTTTGGTGAAAATATTATACATCTATCTTGAATAGAAGTGGAGATATTTCCGGTTGAAGGGGGTCAGGGTTGCCTGGTTCCAGAAGTAAAATTAGAGAAAATGGCCGCTAAAGTTTTGTAACTTCCATAGTCTGAGAGTCCTTGGAAACTGAGGATTTACATTTTTCGTGCCTTTAATCAATGTTTTTCAGTTAAACCCCTACAAGAATGTGTTTTGAAATGGACATAAAAGGTGTTGGGCCAAAAAGAAAAACCTAGAAAAAAATTGCCCATCAGCCAAGAAAATGCTGATTTCTTGGATTTCATTTTTTCACGAGCGCCTGACTTCACCACGATGCCTCACATCTGACGAACCATAATACTTATATATTTTGATTTTAGATTCAAGTAAAAAGGAGCACAACCTGATGCAGTTTTCTTCAAGGTTTTTTTTTTTTTTTTGGCCTCTCAGTGTCTAGTTCGCCACCCAGCCACCATCCAAGATCAAAGACTGTCCAGTCATCTGATTTCCAGCACTTGAGCACATAAAGACCACAGCTTCTCCCAGCTGTGGAAAAAAACAACAACTTAATCTTATACTCCGACCTTGTATGACAATCACATAAAGAAGCAATAAAATGTAACACAAAGCTGCATGCTGTATTTTTTTAATCTCAAAAGCATAAGCTTCCAAGGCATTGGAATGCAATACATTTTCAATGTAGTTTCTGTTCCAAGAGGAATGGGTTTTTTTTGTAACATCTGGTTCTGTGAAATCTATATGGATGAGCACAGAAGAAGAAAAAGAGGAGATTTAAACTTATGAAATTGCAGTTTGGGGGGTTTGCTTCTCTCTAGAACTACCAAAATCATTTTTTAACCAATCTCTTCTTCTGCAAACGAATTGGAGTTTGGTATTTAATCCAATAGCCTCTGAGCTTGTGTTCTTTAGTCCAATGCCATGATTAAAAAGGTGGAGGTTTCAAAATTTGATCTTTGCTACAATATAAAGTATAGTGCGTGATAGAAACAGGAGGAAGAATTAGTTGCCATCGGAGATCCTGAACCAGTTTGGGCGGAAATCCAGCACTCCTTCTACTGTGTATTTGTTTTGTTTTATTATTTTCAGTTTATAAAACAACCAAAAAATTCTTTAAAAACAATAACAGTTTCAGTCTAGAATACGGTAATCAAAGAGTCTTGACAACCTCTGAACAGATATAAGAAATACACTACAGAAGCAATTAAGAATAGATGAGAAACATACAAAATGCTGCGTACTCACATCATTTAACTGAACAGCTTCTTTTGAAGGATGCACTTGCAAGATTTGGGCCTGTAAATAATACGCATGTTTGTGAATTCATATAAAAGTAGTTTGGATACATACTCACGGTAAGGTATAGGTTTATATAATATCACTTTGAGGTCTTTTAAGAGGAGTTATCTCTGAATTGTACAACCATCTTAGATAAGAGTAAGATTTAGTCAAGTGGGTATAGAACTGGGAGAACCACTCCCTCCCCCCTCAGAGGCAAGAACAAATGGATTAAATCCAACTTCCAAGGTCAAGGATGCCCCATTACAAACTCAAAACAGGGAGGTCCAACCATGGTTCATGGTGATACCAAAAGAGCTGATTTTACTCCCAAAAAAAGTGAAATGCTATAAATCATACAGGAATTTGCAAAACTTTCGACCTTAAAATGGCAGTCCCAGCATACGATCTATCACACAAATCCTCGATAAATATAAGTTAATTACTAGCACGGATTGAGTTTTCACTTTTTATTAGTTTCTATACAAAATGGAGAAAGCTTACATGTATTCGTCACAAAACTTTGTTTATCACAGATTTGGCCCCAACCCAAGTTTATGTCACCTGTCATTATGGCCATATCTGTCAGTAGGCACCTCACTCTTCTCAATAACAGTTATGCGTTTGTTTTTGTCTGTTTGTTTGTTTGTTTGTTTGTTCATTTGTTTGTTTGTTTGTTTGTTTGTTTGAGTAGAGAGAAGTACATTGGCACAATTATGGTCATTTAGCGATGGAAAAAGTAAGACAGAAAGACAGAACAACAGAGGGAAAGTAAAGAAGTAGGACCTATAAGTCCACCAACCACCACCAACAGTTATGTGTAAATTTACCAAAAGTAAAGATTAGAGTCATGTAGAAAATGCTGATGGTTTGAAAGTAAAACTCACCCTTCCCTCATCATAAGTTATCCCTTGGGCTTTGGCTCTGTCCTCAGCTTGCTTGATAAATACTGGAACAAATGTTGACATTTCCAATTAATTGAAGAAGCTAAAAACTACAAAATGTATTATAAAGGATTCCAGAAAAAAAATTAAGGCAAAACAGAGGACAAAAGCACAGAATAAAAGAATGAAGAAAGAAATTGGTTCCAAACTGTATGCTGCCTACAGGGAGGGATGAGTACTGCGGTAGTGTTGTGGGGACACTTACAGAGAACATTACATGTCACATAATGGACTGGGCTTACATGAAGGTCTTTTTAAGCTAGACAAAGAGGACAAAAAAAAAGGCATAAGAAAGAAATGGATGGACAAACAAGTTTCTTTTTCTCTTTTCTTCGTTTGCAGCCATTCACCTTTCTTAAAGGGAATTAGGTAGCGTCGGTAGCCTAGTGGTTAGGCTACCGGACTCGTATTCATGAGATTGCGGATTCAGGGGTTCGAGCCTCAACTTGGTCTGACATTGTGTCCTTGGGAAAGGCACTTTACACGAACTTCTCACTTGGCTCGATCCTATCGGAAACGGACGTTAAACGAGGAGGTCCCGCCCCTTAAATAACCTAATAGTGTTGATAGGGGCGTTAAAGTCATACCATTTTTCAAGGGAATTATCTAAATGGAACAAATTTTACTTAGTCTTGGATGGAGGTGATAATGGTTATCAACAATGTAAACAAAAGAAAAGAGAATATGGGTCCCACCATGGTGGAATCAGGCGCTCATCAATTTTTGGGCACATAGTATATAGGGTTACTGGTATCATCTTAAAGCCTGTTCATTTTCCTTCCTTTTCGAGAAAAAAAATCCATGTATATTGAATAGAAGTCGAAATATTTGCGGTTGAAGGAGTTCAGGGTCGCCTGGTTTCAGAGGTGGAATTAGCGAGAAATTGGCAGCCAAAGTTTGGTAACTTCCATAGCCTGACAGTGATGGGAAGGTACTGTCAAAGAAAAAACAACAACTCTGGATTCCCCTTCAAAAAGGTACAAAGTTGGAAGAAAGAAATATCAACATATGTAAACAAAAGAATAGAGAATGATATCAGTTAGTAAAGACAAGAATAGAGAACAATATCAACAATATAAACAAAAGAATAGAGAACAATATCAACAATATAAACAAAAGAATAGAGAACAATATCAACAATATAAACAAAAGAATAAAAAATGATATCAACAATATAAACAAAAGAATAGAGAACAATACATATCAACAATATAAACAAAGAATAGAGAACAATATAATATATCAACAATATAAACAAAAGAATAGAGAACAATACAACAATATAGACAAAAGAATAGAGAACAATATCAACAATATAAACAAAAGAATAGAGAACAATATCAACAATGTAAAGAAAAGAATAGAGAACTATATCAACTGTGTCTCACTCACAAGGCGTCTCCACATAACCAGGACACAGGGCATTACAAGTGACACCACTGCCAGCGACTTCAACTGCCACTGCCTGAAGACAAATGAAAAGTAAACCTGCTTAAAATTTTTTGTTTGTTTGTTTTTCAGGGAAATATCACTACTCATTGACCATATAGCAGAGTCAACTAATTATTTGTGCCTTAAGGAGAAATAATTTCTCTTTCAACCCGACACCTAAAAAGAGCAACCAATATCTTTTTTTTTCTATAGTTTAAGTTTTTCTAGAAGTTTTACGACGCTCGCAACTGCATAAGGTCATATAAGCGCCAGAATATTAGAGGTGTTACATTAAGAGAGTAACAAACATAAAAAAGAAGAAGGGCGAGATAAGGACGATAGATGTTTGAAAGGAAAGAAGAAGCAAACCACACCAGAGCACCCGCCAACCACACACTTTCAATAGTTTATTTCAACAATCAAATGATTTCAATATAATGTATTCATGCAAATTACTCATGCACACTTTCCCCACTTTTCCTTCTGATTTTATGATTTTTAAAGGAATGGGGCAATGAGAAAATGAGAAATAAAATTCTTTGATTCTCAAATCATGGCACAGTGTATCCCCTCCCCCTCCCCGTAATCCCCTTTTCCATTCATATATATATATAGTGATAGTATGAAGAAAAAAAACCAAACCAAGCAACAGAGTCCACCTACCCCAAAACATGTGGGGATCCTAGATTTTCTTCAGTTTAACTGTGTTTTCAGTATAGAGATGTTGCTTAATCTCTTTAAGTCAAGGATTTTTTTTTTCTTTTGGTTTACCACTGTTTTTGAATTAACTGCATTTGGTTTAAGTGGAATCTACTATGTATAAATAACTTCTATAAGGCCAACAGACGGCAGTTGTAGAGAATTTGAGACTGAGGTAATAACAAATTATTTCATTGATAGGCCCAGCATTAACAGCATAAAAATTAGTGCTTGTTGGTAATAACAAATACTATTTTATTGATAAGCCCTGTATTAGCAGCATAAATATTAATGCTTGTTGCGTTCTCACCAAAGGCAGGCATAATGGTGAAAAAATCAAGGAATCCATTCAGAATATTTCCAGACTTACCTTGGTCAGTCCTACTACTCCATGCTTGGCAGAAATATATCCCGTCTTGTTTGGAGAAGCAATATGTCCATGACAAGACGAGACATTGATAATCCGACCCCAACCTGAAAAGAATCATGATAAAACTGGACAGGTGTCTTATTGTTACTTTGTCCCAGAGTGCAGAAAAATATTGCAGCACTGTGAAAATGTCATTGTTTGTTTGCATTACACTGAAGAAAAGTACTCATATATCATCATCATCATCCGGTGCCTTGCCGACTGGCGTGGGCGATCATGGACCTCCACTTCACTCTGTCTTGCATTGCAGCAATGGTGTCTGTTGTTCTTGCTGCTCCTAGCCATGTTGCCATCTTGTCCAATATCTTATCCCTCTGCCTGCCTCTGCCTTTCTTTCCATCAAACTTGCCTGTTGTTACAATATTCTCCAATGTTTTTTTCCGCATTGTGTGTCCGAAGAAATTTGCCTGTCAATTTCTTATATTCGTCATAAGCTGTCTTCTATAATTTGCTTCAACCAAGACTTCTTCATTTGTTTTTCTAGCTCTCCATGGGATACGTAGCAAGCGTCTTATGAACCACAACTCTGTCACACAAATGTTCTTTCCAGCTGTTTATTGACTGTCCACGCTTCGCACCCGTATAATAGGATTGGCTCAATGACTCACATATCAATACTGGTCAAAATGTGTTGAGGGCATTATACATAATATTCGCAAACGGCATAGAACCTCCTGCAGAGTGTAGATTTATACAATATAAATGCAATTATTACTAGGCTATTACTATTATTATTTTCATTTTAAGGTACTATTGTGTCACAAGTCAAGAAAGTGTTTGCAATGCCTTTTCTTTCCCCTTATTTTATACCCTATGACAATGATGTGTGTGGTAGTCAGTCATGAAAAGACTATCTGCTTTCTGTTTCTCGTGGCAAGTATCAAGTAAAGCTAAAGGGAAACTGTAGTTGAAATATAATCCTGTGGACCAAACAGTATACATATATAAATGTAGCTATACTTCCGTCAGGTAGAGTACATTATTTGAATAAATTAACAATTAATGAAGTAAGATACATTGCTGGCCAGAAACCAAACCAGAGTAAAGAAAATAAAATCCTGACTTACTTTCGACTTAACGTATGAAACAGTTTAAATTGAATGCATGACACTCACCACTATTATCACTACTACCACTACTACTACCACTACTACTACCACTACCACCACTACCACTACTACCTATTACTACTACTACTACTACTACTACTACTACTACTACTACTACTAACAATGATAATTTTTATAAAGCATTTACATGGCGCTGTATCTTGTGGGGGAACGATTTCTAAGCGCTGTACAATAATTTAAAATGGATGCTTCACACACACACACACACACACCACACACACACATACTCACACCACACGCACACACACACATCACTCACAACACACACAATTGTACAACCTGCATCTGTGCTGTAACAGTTAGAGGTGCTTAGCTGTTGCATGCAGGAAACCTGAGTTCCATTCCTGAGTAGGGGGACATTTTTAGGCCTATCAAGTATCTCAATCTTTCTGCTGGGGAGTAGCATCCCTCTCAAGCCTGAGTTCGCCCTTACAGGTACGGTCAGAAAAAAAAAATTCACAACACACAGAAAAAAACCCAGCCAAAAATTGTAGGCCTACCATTCACTGAAGTGAAACAGAATGGCACTTTTCAAGGGAGCAACGAAGGAAAGAAAACAAAAGACAATTAAGGAAAAGAGAGTGATAAAGACAGATCTTTCCCCAAAACCCTATGAAGATTTTTAAAAAAAGTTTTGAGCATCCTCATTTCTTTTTAGAGCAGCTACCTTTTTCCTTCATACTGTCCATGCACAGCTGTGACAGCTGGAAGGGAGTAGACAGCATGAGCGCCATCATCTTGTTCCACACATCCATTGGAAACTTTTCGATGGAAGACACATGCTGGAAACCTTTTATAATAGAACAAAAAAGATACAAGAAAGTAACAGAAACTCTCAAACAAAACAAAAACATTAAATAAATGTAGGCCCTACTTTGTATACACAAACTACTCCACGATGACTTGACTTATCAGCTCTGCTTGATGTAAATGTTAAAACTATAGCCTACTACACAAAATATAAATTCATCTATAGGCCTAAAGTTTATTTCTATTCCCATATTTAGGCTTGAAGAAGTCTAAAATAATTATAGAGCTTTGTCCTAGGTAGCCTACTTTCAAATAGTAGCACTATGAATTAAAAAAGGCCTACTATCACTCTACAAGAAGTCATAATTGTAGCAGTCTTGACCAATTCTACAGGCACTGTACCAAAGGCCTCTTAAACTTATTTCAATATTTTTAATAAATCAGTGACTTACCGTAAGGTCAAAGTGTAAAACAATAGGCCTTACCTCTATCACTGATTTAAAGTGTAACAAAGAAACATTCCTCTAAAGCACTGGCAAATATGTAAAAAAAAGAAGTGTATATGATACCGATTATTATCATTACACAGATACTTTGTGCAAGAGACTTTGTATTGCTTTATAATAAATTAGAAATAAGTCTTATACATTGTAGTTATCCTCACCAGCATTGTTCACCAAAATGTCAATTCCACTAGGAAAAGACTTGACAGCTTCTTTATGCAAAGCTGTGACATCTTCAGCTTTAGACAGATCTCCCCCAATGAACTCTGCTTCAACATTGTAATCACTGTGGGGAAGAGAGGAAAGAATACTAAGCTGCTGTATAAAAGTACACTGTTGTATGTATTATGGTTTAATTTTCCATGGCTGGTCTCAAAGATCAGAAGGACTAAATAGATATATTGTCTCTCAAATCTATGAAATCCTGGATAAGAAGTTTTAAGGATCACTATTATAAAGACTGTCCACTCAAACTTCCAAATGTTAATTATAAACAAATTAAGATATAATTGAATATCTGCTTTGACTTTTATATTATTATAATAGGCCTATGTAATACTGTAGGCCTATAGGCCTTCTAAAAAAATAAGGCATAGGCCAAGGATTGCAAAAGAATGACATATTTTCTAAAGGAGACTGTGTATTGTATTTTTGTTCTTAGAGAGGGCTAATGTTTCTGTTTATTTCTCTGACATTCATCAATAGGCCTCTGAACTATATTCCATAAAAACAAATTCTTACCCTAATATTGATACAAGATGTTCTGTACTGGGTATATATGTAGGCATATAAAATAAAAGCACAGATAACAGTAAGAACTTTCAGCAGATTTAGCAGAAACAATAATATTAGGTGTATAGCTTATGGGTGTCTAGTTTAAACTTCTCCAATATATATATAGATCTATCAGTCTGGAACTTAAAATGCTGCTCTCTGAGATCACACTTTGACTTTAAATAGACAGAAACAATCAAAGGGAAAGAACACAAATGCAACATTTTCATCTAGAATCTATATAAAAATATGTCATCACATTAGTACTCACCCCACTCCCCCCGCCAATCACACGCAATATTATGTAAGATGATAAAAATCAAGTTGTTATCTAACAGGAGCATTAAAAATAGGCCCATATTATGTGAGTGGTGGTGGGACATGATTTATATTCCAGCCCAGCAATGTAGCTTGGTATCTCAACGTTCATTGCTGTTGCTAACGGCTTAATGGAGAGGGCCATGTAAAATAAAATTACCATTATATCAGGATTAGATCTAATACATTTTTGACAAAATAGAAAAGCCTAGAGCTATGTTTTAAATTTGAACCCTTTTCTTTCAAAGCTCTGGTCCCCTAGCTGAGCCCGGTGCTAGACTTCGCTTGCACACTATTGAGCTTCCCAAAGACGGTCGCTAGGCTAATTAACCACCGCAGTACATGCATGCTGGTAGCCCAGCAGAACGGGCCTACTAGACAGCTGATTGCATCACTTATTATTTAAGTTAATGTAAGCAAAAGTTGACTCTTTCAGGTATTTAATGAGGGCTGTGGACATCATAATTATGGTGAGACTATTATTGTGATGTTTTTATTTTGAGGTTATGGTTATAAGACATTTATATATATATATATATATATATATATATATATATATATATATATATATATATATAGAGAGAGAGAGAGAGAGAGAGAGAGAGAGAGAGAGAGAGAGAGAGAGAGAGTACAGTAGGCCTATTAGAGATATCTAGAATCTACAAAAATAATAATATGTCATTAGACTACTTTTCCTCTTCCTCAGATTTTCATGATCATAATACAGAATGATGTAGATTCCAGTAGATTTAGATCTAGATTCTAGATCTAGATCTAGGCCTGAAACATCTAGATCTAGATCTAGATTATCTAGAATCTAGATATTTTTCCCCCCCCACAGAGTTAGGCTTAAGGTCCAGTTCTCTTCAATTTGATAAAAACCTGATTACAACTTCAAAAGAAAATGTTCGATAAAATCAGTGTAAACTGTCCAAGTTCACGGCATACCTCTTGAAGGACTCCACCAATTTATTGATGCTCTGCTCATCTCCAAATCCGTTAATGACCACGTTGGCCCCTCTACTGGCTAAGCATCGAGCAATGCCTTCACCAATGCCACCTGTAGAACCCGTTACTAAGGCCACTCTACCAGACAAAAAACCTGTATAAAAGGAATACAAAGTCAATCAAGTAAGGTCTACCTTAAACTATTTCAGCCTACACATATGGGCACATAGAGACAGACTCTATCTAGAATCTAGATCTACATCTAGATTCTAGATTTAGATCTAAGGCCTTGATCTATAGCAGAGATTAAAGAGCAATTATTATAGGCCTACATAAAAAAAAAGAAAAGAAAACCCAGACTGATGAGAGCAGATTATTATAATATAGGAGAAGTCTTTAGATCAAGATCTAGATATCTATAGTCTAGAATCTAGATCTAGATCAAATGTTGTTTTCTTATAGATAAAAAATTAGTAACTTACCAGAAGAGAGAATTTTACTGATCTTCATGACGAAAAAGTCGAAAATACAAAGTCCAAAGCCAAACTCTAGATTCTTTCAAAGAAGCGCGAGGCCTATGCTTCGCTGACAGAACTGGCTTCTGCTAATACGCACAACAACGTGTCGCAGCTATGCTATGACCTCTATTTTTATAAAGTTCTCATTCCGACTCCTGACCCGAAAGGTTCAGAGTTCTGTCTCTGATTTGAACTTTGGACCTGACACACAACATTAGTAGATCTAGATACAAATAGTTCAAGATTTCAATGATTCTACCCACTTCCCCAAGCATGGAAAACAGATTTACAACAGCATGCTGCCAAAATTTGAAAACAGCTGACATCGCCACGCCCCTTTACCTTGTTTTAAATCTTCGCAAAGTGGCGAATAAGCAAACTTCTCAACAGTTATAGTAGGCCATTTTATGCAGTAGCCTGACCTCACATTTTTATTTGTTCTGACGAAGTCCAAAAAGACGCTTGAATTTTTGTTTAGCATAACGTAGGTTAGGCCTGATGGGTACTTTGTTATACATTTTTGGGGGAGAGCTAAGAATATCTAATAATTTTAAAGAGCTGCAAAGCACTTGATTATGACTTTTCGTCTAAAACTAGGACTAGACCTTCTAGATCTAGCCTAGGTCACTGCTTTCTCGACTCGCCACTTTGCTATAACCACCACGATGAATCGGGAATTCCAAGCTTGAAAAATTGAAAGTAAAGAACGGAGGATTGGTTGCTCTCTTTTCCGGTTTGAATGGACAAGGACAAATACTGTACTGCAATTGGTTGATCTCGGCCTTCGTTGGTCCAAAAATAGCTACAGAGAAATTATTTTTAGCTGCACAGTGCTTCACTTGCACGATACACAGATTGAACAGTCTGGGTACCGACGCCATTTTTTGATTGTGCCGTAAGGAAACAGATAGATCTATCTCAGTGTTTGGGAATACACATCAATGGATGAAGCAAACGAAAAATTTAAGGCCGAATTCACTGCATTTGTTCATGATTATTGTGGAGGATCTCATAACAGCTATACTCTTGACCTTAAGAAAAGAGACAGAGTGTTAAAATGTTTGAGAGACGCGAAAGAAGAGCCAAGCGCGAGATTCCGGTTTTGGGTGCGTGCAAAGGGCTTTCGAATCGTCCAGTCTGCGGATGGGGACGACATCCTCGCTGTTCCACCAAAAGGAAACGACCCAAGTGATGTAAAGTCTTTGGCTGCTAGATTTTTAAGCCTATTTATTATTTAAAATTGTTGCTTTCGCTTTTGGTTTTTCTAATTTCAAACTTGATGATGATACCATCGAGCCAAATAGAAATAATAAAAGGCTTCCAAACCTCGCCCCTGTGCCCTCATGAAATTTTGTTCTTTGTCGAAAGAAAATTAGTAGATCTAGATTCTAGATCTAGACTTAGAATCTTGATTCTAGATCTAAATCTAGATCTAGATCTAGATCTAGAATCTAGATATCTAGATCTAGATCTAGATCTAGAACTAGAATCTAGATATCTAGATCTAGATCTAGATATAGGTCTAGATCGCTCTAGATATTTTTTAAAAATTGTCTGCTATGATATTATTATTATTATTATTATTAACGTCCCCCTGACCTAGAAAATCTTCAGTCAGTCACCATGTTGGTAGGTTTATATTTATTTATGCATTTAACTGGACCCCCCCCCCCCCCCAACCACACACACACACACACCATTTACACACACAGGCACATACTGACAAACAAACAAACAAACACACACACACACACACATACATGCACATACACACATGCTCTGACATGCTCACACTCAAGAAACACATGATTTAAAAATTAGTACTCACTCACACACAAACACACCAATATACTCACACACACACACACACACTCACACACACACACACACACACACACACACACACACACACACACACACACACACACACACTTATGCTATACACAACTACACACACACACACACACACACACACTCACTCACTCACTCACTCACTCACTCACCTCTCATAAATAATGCTGACTGAATCAAGACATAAGAAAATAGTATACCTGGTCTACTTTCCTATAAAAATAAAGCTTTCATGATTGGCTCTTCATTCTGAATCACACTGGTTGTGAGGTGGTAGGTAGGAGGAGCGACTTAACTGACTGCTTCTCTTCTTGACTATTGCAGGGTTTTTATTATTTATTCAATATTATTTATCATCTGTTATAATAATCCAAAGGCGTGGGGTTTTTTTCTTCTTCTTCTTTTTCTTTTCTTCTAATTTTCCAGTTGAGGAGATGATACACTTCCACCCAGATATCCATTTTTAATCTTGTACCAGTATAGACTTTTGCTCGGTGTCTGGCTTTGCTCATAATGAATGAATGACAATTGACATCATGTATTGTTGATATGAATGATTTTTTTTCAGGGAAAAACAGAGGGCTTTAGAACATTACTCAGAGTCTAGTAAATAGTCACAGACTAATGACTTACCGAAAATATTTCAGTAGTAATTTTGGTATATATAATACGATATAAAATGCTTAAAAGGCTCATTAAGTGGTATTCTCACTCTACGGAATATCATGATCATCATGATATCATTCTGCTCCGGTGTCTTCATCAAAGTTTTTCAGTGGCTCTCCTCGTTTCTCACAAAGCTGGAAACCATGGTATTCCAAAGTAGCCTAATTGTTTTAACTTTTATTATCAAGGTAAGATTAAGACGACACCACTTAACAATGCAGCAAAAATAGAGATAATAAACCCAAAAATTGTCTTAAAGTCATTTACATTTTGGCCGATTTCCTGTTAATCAGCATAGTATAACTTGGTCATTTCTTGTTTGAAACAGCCTGTGTATAAATCTTTCATCTATGGTGTATATCATTGATGGAGGTAAAGAGGGACTCTATGCTGTAGGCCTAGTCATAACCTTACCAAGTGTTATCTTTTAGTATCTGATATATAATATAAAAAAATATTTTTACTGTTTTCAGATGTTATTCAAGCGAGTTGCGACTATTGAAGAGTTTTTTGACATTGTTTATGCAGCACACTCAGAAAATGGCCATGTGGGGCAGGCACAGACTTTCAGAGCGGTGAGCTTTTTTTGGTGACTGGTACGGGCTTTTAGCTGATTGGTTTCAGAATAGAGATTTCTTGTTGACTGAATGATTGGTGTCGGGTTGTTGGTTAATCGTTTGTTGAGGGGGAGGATGGTGAAGGGGGATGGTGATATCGATCAAAATGATTTGATAAAACATTTTAAAATAATGGTTGAAAAAAAATATTGGCATTGTAATTTGCTGCCATGATTTGCAGCGTGGAAGGACTTCCATAACTCCCATCAAACACTATAAAGAGGATACTAACCCTAACCCTAACCGTAACCCAATCCTCAACCCTAACCCCGTATCTATTTCATAGTGCACACTCGTTACTAAATTCCTACCCCCAGCACCCTCAAAAGAGGTACCAGCTGTTGGCTTCTGTGGTTTGGTTAGGGCCATAATTTTCTCCAGAACAGCGGTCATATAATTTTGTGTGAAACCATCTATTTGAATTTTCCCTGAGGTCAGACGAAAAAGTGTAATTCAATAAAAATGGATAAAAGAATCTAGTTGTGCGTGGTAATGTGTTTGTGAGTGAATGTGTGTGTGTGTGTGTGTGTGTGTGTGTGCGTGCATGTGTGTGTGAATATTGTTCGTACGTGCATTAAATGTAAAGCGCCTAGAGCTGTGCTCTCATGGGAGTGGGCGCTATAGAAATGGAGTAGATACATTATTATTATCATTATTATTTCATGCCTAAATCTTGAAGTACAACTTCAAATTCTGGGAAGCAGATATAGTGGGTGTAATTTTATCATAAAAGTTTGATTACTTATTGTGTGTTTGAAAAGGAAAGTTGAAGAATCATCTGAAAGTGATTTTTATAGCATTTATCATGAACACTTGTATTATTATAATATTTTTTGATGTGATCTACAGATTCGTGCCATGTACGCATTAGTCCCCCGCATCGTTGTCATCAAGTTCATTGAGATGTGCCCACAGTGCTCCAAAAGTCAACACAACAAGCGGTTTGCGTCCCAAAGTGGCAGCAACATCATCAGCGCAGATAAACTGGCGGGTGTAAGTTTAGGTTTGAATTTTTAAAATAGCTTTAGTAAGATTTTATGGCACTTGCAGCACAAATAGGTCATATGGTAAGTCTTGAAGATTAGAAGTGTTACTGGAGAAAGTTGTTGAAAGTTAGTTCAAAGAGGTTTGAGTTTGAATTTATTTGGTGTTGGTTTTGGTTTTCAGACTGTTCACTTATCATATATATATATATATTATATCTTCCATACGAAAATTGTCATAAATTAAACTTTCAGACAATTCTGACTATATCACCATTACCAACTGTCCTTCTTGAATACATTGTTCATGCAAACTGACTTGATGATCCACAGTCCTTTGCTGTTCAAAAACGTGAGCCTGAAGTTGAGGAAGGAGGTTTTGAAGAAGCTGTTGATAATGTAAGTGCTGGACAATATACAATGCACATTTTGTTCCTAATTCAGAAAAAAATAATTGTGAAAGATTGTTTCACCAATGAAATGCTTATAAGAGAAAGAGAAACTCTGTTGTTCTCTTCAGAGAAATTTTCCATAGCCACCTACAGAGAATGACTCTTTTTCTCTTTCTTTCTCTCTGTCTCTGTCTCTCACTCTCTCTCCCTCCCTCTCGATCTCTGTTCCCTCTCTCTTCCTCCCTCTCTCTTCCTCCCTCCCCCCTCTTTCTCTCTCTTCCTCTGGTTCTCTCTCTTACAACTGTCCCTTTCCCCTCTTGCTTTTCCTTTTTTTTTCAGGACACTTGCATTTATGTGTACATTTGAGCTTTTTAAGTACAAACAAAAACAACAACAACAGAAACCCAATAAATATGAGCTGTGTCTGCAAGTGAGCTGAATGAGGAATTAAAAAGTTTACTTGAACTATTTGCAAAGACATTTTTGTACCTACTTATTTTTGTTCTTCATCACTTGACACTAAATTCAATGTAGCTGTCTTTTACTGTAACAATGAAAATATAATGAGAGAAAAAAATCGCAGTTTCAAATACACGTAGACCTAATGATGGGTTTCTTCCTTGTGCAGGATGTTACGAATAATCAACAAGAAGTGACTAATGCCTTGCAAGAAATACTCTCTGCCAAAATTGCGAGCGGTGAGATGGATGGAGTTGTTCAAATTGAAAGTACGGACCCGTCATTGGACACGCCTGCCACAGTATTTTCATGCCACCTCTGCACTGAGCAATTTCCCAAGCGGAAAGCTTTGCAACAGCATATTCAGAGTCATCAAGATTTTCGGCCTGCTGTGGTATGTTTCTTACTAGAATTATCTTTTTTTGTTAGTACAAGCATTTAGTTTTATAAAAGATAAAAATCTTCATTAAACAAAAAATGTGGGACTTTTCACAGCAGTTTTCTGAAAGTTTGTCATTATTTCTTCGGTTGTTTCATTTTTTCATTTGCCTTCTGTTATTTGAGAATGTTTCGGTCTTTTCATAGTGATTAGTTTCAGTAATGGAAATAAGATATTCAAAAGGGATTGAAATACTTTAAAAGTTTTGTTTTCCAATTTAAAAAATTCATGATGAATTGTTCAACTTTTGTTTTCAAGAAAAGACCAGACTGCTAGAACTTGACATTTTTGTATTGCAGTTTCTTGTCATTTTTCAAAATAACATAAAACAGTGTATAAATGAGTTGCTATTGCTTTCTGTTTTGTTTCTTGTGGAAATGAAGACCAAGGTGCATCTTTTTTTAAATGAAACTCTTTATTCACTGTTTTCTACTAGCATCTGTGGTGCAGTGGTTAGGGGCTTCGCTGTCACACGCAAGAGACCTAAGATCAATTACTGAGTAGGGAGAATTTTTATCTAGTATCTTGGACTTTCTACTGGGATGTTTTATCCCTTTCGGCCTGGGTTGGCCCTGACAGGCAGGGTTGAAGCCAACCTCCAAATTGATCTAAATTTTATTGATGGGGGCATAAAATCACCTACTTATAATGAAAAAAATTCACTGCTATTTGTTCGCAGCCACTCCAGAGAGGAGCAGGATTCGGTGGTTCTGCTTCGAAGAGAAGAAAACTGAACATTGGCTTCAGCTCTCCTTACTCTGGGAAGCCTAGGAAGAGTACCATGGCGAGACGTCGGATGATCCTAGATGTCGACTCTAGCATAACTGCCGCCCAGGTTGGTATCAGTATCTGGTTGTTTTTATCCGTTCACTTTGGAGGACATAATCTGTTTAGTGTAACTGATCTATCTTTCGATTAAACCTCTTCACTTCCGCGCCCATAAAATTTACGGTCCTGATGCTCATATTAACATATGCAGTTTCAAGCGCCGTAAAACCTCTACTAAAACTTTAAACAGAAATTACATGCCACCTGTCACCTGTCACAATGGTTTTGTTCATCCATTGTTTCTCAACTCTTTCTATGCTGAGCGTTCCCCTCATATACTGGGCAGTTTTGTTATGGCAACTTGAAATTAGGTCTACCCAGGAAAATCAATCAAAACTGGGGCCCAGGTTTTGGGAGTATTCTCGGCTGTTCAACTGAATTGATTAACTCCTTTCCGAGACAATCCTTCACCTTCCCCAATCTCTGCTATGATGTTTTATTTCATGATGTTTTAGACCAGTGTCAGATTTTATGTTTTTATTACTTGATGTGTGTTGACATGATTAAATCTCATATGTTTTTAGTTTCTTAAAAATAGGTTTAGTAAGAGTTGAACAGCTCTTGGAACACAATAAAGTCATATAAATGCAGAAGATTAGAAGTGTTACAAGACAGTAACAAACACAAAAACGGAGAGATAAAGACGAAAGCATTTTGATAGGAAAGAAGGAGCAAACCACACCAGAGCACCCGCCAACCTCCGGCATCACATGTGCCAATCACCTGTGTAAATCATGTGTGTTCAAAGAATTTGTTAACATTTAATTTTACCCTTTGTGTGGTCTTTTTTCCCTCTTCAGGCCATAATGTTGGCAGCCTCGCGGCCAGACATCGAGCTGATGGCCATCAACTGTGTGGCAGGAAGGGTCAGTGTTCTCAACGCGTGTGAAAATGCCCTCAGGGTACTCAAAGCCTGCGGGAGAGAGGATGTAAGTTATTGTCCTGATCATTGTACTATCTCTTGTTCTTTTTCTACTCTTCCTTGTTGTTGTTGTTGTTGTTGTCGTCGTCGTCCTCCTCCTCCTCCTCCTCCTCCTCCTCCTCTTCGTCATCCTCCTCCTCCTCCTCCTCCTCCTCCTTTTCTTAATCATCA